CCCCCCCCCCCCCCCCCCCCCCGACCATTCCACCAAAAGCAGTTTTTTTTTTTTTATTCGCTATCCCGCCGCATGAAACACATCAACTTCACCTTTGCAAGATCGTCTTGGACTATGGCGTTATCTCGGCCGGGCGATCCTTCAGTAGTAGTCGAATGGTATGTCTATATGGGAAAAATCCTGTGGGAGCGAGTGGATGCACACACGAGATGCAGCAGCAGCTGAGGGGAAACAACACTGCTGTGGTGCATAAATTCAAGTTAGTTCACCGCACAGAATGTGAGTGAAGCCGAACACTGCCCTCTCCAGAGGGACCCAATACCATCACACCAATCACACGGGACGATGGTACACGATTCACCATACGTTTAGGAGGAGAGTTTGAGGGAGCAATGACTTTGCCCAGACGGCCCCATGCTCGTCGATGTCGCCTGTATCACTGCTGTACGCCGTAGTCTTCGACTCATGCACTACAGCAGTAGCACGACGCAAGATAACACACACCCTGGACCGATTTTCAAAAGCTTGATTTCAAGGGTGTGTTGGGTACGGTACGGGAACGTTGGGTATGGGTACGGGTACTGTACCCAACGTACCCAGAATATAGATACGGGTACGGGTCCTGTACCCAACGTACCCAGAGTTTGGATACGGGTACGGGAGTAGTACCCAACGTACCCAAATTTTGGGTACGGGTACGAGAGTCGTACCCAATGTACCCGGGTAACCCGGGTAGATGATACGTGGGTATGGGTATTTTGGGTATGGATACGGGTGTGGTACCCATATTTTGGGTACGTTGGGTACGGGTACGAGAGGTCGTACCCAACGTACCCAGAATTTGGGTACGGGTACGAGAGTCATACCCAACTTACCCAATCGTTGGGTGCGGGCACATACCCGACAAATACCCAAATTGTACCCGAGTGTGTACCTTATCCAACACACGCTTGATTTCTCAACAGCAGAGAGAGAGTTACAGCGCCGAAAAATGACTGCGTTGAAGCCTTCTCGTCGAGAGCTTTCCGAAAATGTAACGTTTCGTTTATTCATGTTCTTCGTCGTGGCGTAATCGAGCTTTGATAATCGGTCCATGGGGGGTGTTATCTTGTGTCGTACCTCGGTATCTCCGTTGAAACGTGTTGTGTACGTGAGATGAATCGAAAGTCTGCATCGGATGGTCGTCGGTCGGGCGCTTGTATAACTGGGTGCATATTTCCCGTTAATTCCGTGCGGTTCCATGCACATGTACCCTAATCGTGTCATCCGACTCCGGTTTTTCTAATCTTTCTGATTTCGTGGCTTGTGTGATGATCGATCGATTGATGGTCTTCATGTGCCTTCACTCCAAGCTGGTAGTGCGTCAATGGCGGTCATCAATGCCATGCCTCAAGAGAATCCACGGCGGAACATAAGACAACTACCTGATGGAGCCTCCAACAGCGGGCATGAGCGTTTCCTGCGTCCGTCTCGCGAATAATAACAGTTACCGCCATACGACACCCTCACCTGTTTGGCGTGTAGCTCGATAAATATTGGCTGTCTCGAGCCGAGCATTCACGCTTATATTCACGAGCAGGCATCCGCAAATGATGAACGGGGCTCTTGTTCTTATTTCTACGCCGAGGGCCCCATACAGTAGACCGGTTGATCGACACCTGAGAGCAGCGAGTAAATTGTTTTGGAAAATAGTATCAATTTTGAACCAACTTCGGAAAGTTCGTTCAACAGGAATTCCGGAACCAACGCACAGCGATTTCCGAGATCACAATAATAGCGTACGTAGAAGTACAAGCGCCCCATCGACTTTAAAAAGGATGCATCATGAGCAACACAGGTCCACGAAGGTCACGTTACCCGTGCGCCTCCTCCCGGCTCTACTAACCTCCGTCGTGTATAGCTACACGACTGATGGCCGGACCTTCCCCCTACCAAGACCCACGGCCATAGCACCGCATCCGGATCTCCACTGTACCAGTCCAACGGCGGATTCATGCTGCACGAAAGTTGATCAAGCTCTAAATGCATACGGCAGCTGTAGAGTTGGCGGGTAGGCTGCTGAGACTGCCTATTGATTAGCCCACCAAAACCAACTCCAGCCTACCGAGTACTCCGAGCTGCAGTAACGAGCTGTCAAGAAGGGGCGATGAGGCTTGAATGCGGAAGCCGTCCGGAATCTCCATGCAATGAACCTTATAGTCATCCGGGTTCATGCTGTCGTTTTCGTCCAGAAGGCTAACTAGTCATTCTGTCGGGGTCGTGTGAGCGAGCAGACTAACATCGCACCGAGAAGTAAAGTATTGCAAACATCACGCAGAAGTGTTGCCGTCGACAAAAAAGTGATTTTCACCAACAACAAGAAGCTACCCGCGGGATACGCGGCAAGAGCAAGAGCAAGAGCAGCAGCAGCAACAGCAGCTTTGGTGACATCCAACTTGCAGTCATTGTCTTCGTCGCTGGAACCGCCGTCCTCCATACTCTCCCCGCTGTTTCCCCCCTCGCTCCGACCCCCACGTCAAATCGATGGCCTCTCAGTGTCCGTTCGTGAGGCCATTACCCGCAATGATGACATGCTTGTTTGATCGTCTCGAAATATTGACACTATGGCAATCAAACTTTAAAGTTGGTCCAACTCCAGTAATATCCCCCCCCCCATGGTGTTTTGCCATCGGGGTTGGGTTTTCGTCGCTTGGCAACGACGTTGTAAAACAAGCC